AAGGATACGTGATTTATCCCGAACTTGAGAGGCTAAGGTACAGTTGGAGGTTGGAGGCAAAAATCCCTAAGTGGAGTATACTGAAGACAACAGGGAATTTCAGAAACGAATGTGGGTGTTTGGAAGTCTAAGAGTGATACTCAAACAAGAAACACTGTGATTAAAAGCAGTACTAGTACACTGATAAACTACAAACATCTATATACTTACCATTAAGCATCCAAATGTTTAACAACTGATATAGTTTGGCCCCAGGAATAAACAGCCAGGCTGGCTATCCCTGAGTTTGCTGGCTCCAAGTCACCCCGAAACTAAGGCTGTTAAGTTCGTGTGTTTGGAAGAGGAATTAAAAGGCGGGGTGGGGGTAGTACTGGCGAAGTCAGAGCTATAAAAGCAAGCATGTTTTAGTTCATTGGCTCAGTTACATGATTTTGGGCAAGTTTTCAGTGTAGAAAGCCTCGTTATGGTGCACTGTTACATGAATCAGAGGTGAATGCACGGGATATGGATGTTGACATTAGCTTCAGGTTTGAAGAGAACATAGAGTGGGAGGTGTGTCGCACAAGACTAAGGGACAAGGGGCAGTAAAGCATTGCTGTCCTCACTCTCCCCATCCCCAGAGGACCCTTCTGTGAACAATAGGAGCTTCTCGAGATGGAGAAACTACATTGGAATGATTGCAGCTCACCGTAGACTGGTCACCCCTACAATGGAGACAATCTAGTGTCCCACTGGGGTGGTGTTCCTATGGTTTCCCTTGGGGAGATTTTTCTTGGTTGTCATTCAGACTATAGGCTTACATTTGACAAGGGGTCAGCCTTTTTTGCATATGAGACCCCTAGAGCTGGGTCTAAGTACCAGCCGTTAGCTTCTTCCTCGACACCTTCTTTCCCATCAATCCACAAGTTCACAATTGCCAACATTCCCTTGAGAATGGCTGAGAAAGAGAGAGAAGGAAGCTACGCTTGGAAAGAAGATTGCTTTGTAGTTTATTTACACCAGAATGTAAGAAAAAGTAAGCTATTAACAATAATAAATAACTGGGGGGAAAAAAACCACAAAACAGCCATAAAATGACACAGAAGGATGGCATGTGTGAGGATCAACTCTTGTTGGCTTTGCTTGTAGTCTATAACACTGTGCATTCCAAAACTTGGTCCTTCCGCAGTGGCAGTGGTATTTTGACTCAATATATGTAACTAATCAAGATCCCAGCTTGAAATGTAAACCCTAAAGGTGACACTTTGAAGCTACATTTAAGCGGCATAGGCATTAAAAACAACTCAAAGAACCTCTTCTTGGTGATACATAGAAACTGAAGGGAGACTTGCAATTCAACAGACATGCTTTCAGTTTTAAGCAAAAACATTGAGAGGTTTATCCTAAAGCACTTGTTAACAACAAAAGTATAATTAATAACGACATCTGAAAAGTTCTTAGCATATTCACATTCTCTTATTGCACTAACTCCTAAAAAGCTTAAACACTTCTATTTTCAAATGCAGATTGTTTGTAAGGTAGAACCCAGAAGAACCCGGTATGTGTTGCCTCCGAATGTCAATGCTATTCTCTTGAGTTACACTTCAGTTTCAGCAAGAATGAATAGTTTTAAATGATCTATTTATTGATCAACTGCAGTCACCAAACAGATCTTTTTTTTTTTAATTTCAAGAATTATGGCTCCGATGGCAGGTTGTCTGTCACCTAGCCTACTGAGTCAGATGATCAGAAAGAGACTAAAACTATCCAATTGTTCTCTACTGGATTATGTGAGCACACACTGTAATGTGACTACGTTATACTCTGGCCCTTGTGAAAAGTAAAATTCCTATTGACCGAAGCCAGCCCAGTGACCTTGCTGTTTCTGAGCCACGACGAGATGTGAAATTAAGCAACAATGAAAAATCCACATACATACATTAGCCTTGAAATTTTCACAGAAAAATGACTTCCTAAGAAGTGTCAGAATCTTTTCTCTTAGGCCACTGTTTATTACAGTGTCTTGAAAGAAAACCACAAATTTCTTTTGGAGGTCTCGTGTTTCTTAAGTGTCTTGTGTTCGTTATATAACTGCGCTCCTTAGAGATTTTCACAATCCAAAACACGCCTAATAAATACTCCCAAATTAAAACCATTTCCCCCCCACATACAGATGCAAACCCAAAGCAGAAGGTTTATGAGTTCACCAATGAACTCCTATTGTTTTGGTTATAATGGTGTTAACTGAAAAAAATGTCACAGACTTCTTTGTTGTTATGCTTTTCCTTTGCTTTGTTTTATTTCAGCCCAATAGTAGGAAAGTGAAATGGTCTCCAGAGCTCACCTCAGATGAAGTTTATGCAGTAAAAACACCGAGACCGTCTTATCCTGGGAAAACACAGCCAAGCAACAATGCAGTCAACGAAAAACGTGGGGGCATTTCAGAATTTGAAATCCATCCAAAGTAATGACATTTATGGTCACTTTGATGGTCTCCACTAACACCAGAGATGAAGATGGGATGAACATTATGTGTTATTCTATGGATTATTTATTTTAATTTGGCTACCAGAGACTTAAAACTGGTGGTGTTTGATTCACTAGGCCACACACACACACACACACACACACACACACACACACACACAGGTATAATACAATTTTGGTGAACAAAGTTGAAGATTTCCACATTGCAGACAGAGGCACTGAGTTAAAAGATTCTATTTTTCCCCAAACATGCTTAATGAATTCAAGTCTCTGCTTTTTTTCTTCTCCTAAGTTTCCATCATGCAACCATTTAATTTCCATCCTTATAGGAATTATTAATGTTCTATATACACATTCACCACAGGCGTGTATGCCACAATAAACAAACTCATGTATGGAGAATATGAAATGACACTTGAAAATCAAGAGAGATAAGATATTGAAGTCATTTATGCCGTGTGATGACTGGAATAAACATTCAAAGCAGCTAAAAGAATATCTGCACCCCCCACCCCATTTAAATGCACACAACCACATGTAGACAGGAAAAACTGAACATACTTTTAAGAGCACACACTATGTTGGCTAAGAATCACACTATCATCGGCAGCTTTGAAATTGATGTCTGTGGTACTGAAGTGGCTACAAGAGAAAGAAAACTCAGAAGGAAATCAGAAATTAGCTTTCTAAAGCATATAGCGTCGTTGACCTCGATAGCAGAAGCTACTTTACAAAAAGAAAAACGGCAATGGTGTTAATGGGAAAACTAGGTGCCAGATGTGTTTACAACCTGCACAAAATAAATCTGTTCTATGCAAAAATAATGATCCCACCCCATCCTGATTTCCAACTGGCAAACGGTAAGCAAATACGCATACTATGTCAGTGTCTTTTGAAAGTAGAAATTTGTGTTCTAAAGCCAACATTCTCATTAAGTACTACTGTGTGGGTAGGGGACCATTGAGAAGTCCAAGGGGTCTGAGAAGATGATTTCCCACAAGCAGAAATCATGCTACGATACCATGCAAGGATCTCTTACTACAATGCTGTCATTCTTAGGGAAGAGATGCACTGTCCATCTAAACTATTTGCAACTGGTTTCCTTTGAGTTCTGGGTTTATTTATTTATTAAGCGAAATGTCAACCTGTAGATAAAGAAATGATCTTGACAGTCTGACGTATGACTGAGAATACTCGGTGCTGGGTTCATGGGACCAGCGCCTGCACCATGGGAGAGTTTATCAATTTGAAAGACACTATGTAGCATGTGCTGAGCACTGAGAGAGAGAAGCAGGCAGGGTCCACTGGCTGAGAGGCTGTGTGGGAAGGAGGACATACTCCTTGGTTTATGTTGTTTCCTTTGGAATCTGTGTTTTGGGAAGGTCCCTTTCCTGAGGTTGGAGGTTATGGTCAGGAAGGCTAGCTGGGGCCTCGGAGTTGCCCAACTACCTTGTTGTCTTCCTCTCTTGGAGGACAAAAAGTAAATGCTAGATTCTGCTTGCCCTTCCTTCTGCGTTCAAAGGCAGTGAGGCGCGATGGTGGCAGTTTTCTCTTTAGATCAAAGGAGAGTTCGTTTTCTGCCACTTGGGTTGAATGATCTTGCTTCCCGTCAACCTGGATTCTAATCTTGCATTACCACCACTTGCAGGAAAGAAAGCTAGACAGAGAGGCATCTTTTCCTGCTCCTCCTTCTTACTCTACAAATAGGAGTCAGCAATTTTGCTCATTCTCTCTTCCCACTCGACAGTCTTTACTCCACTTCTGCGACATTCCCAATATTTGGGTTTCAAGTAAGGGCAAGAGAATGACAGTCATTTTTAAGGTCCAGTGATGGGCAATCTGTTCCAGGGAAATCTGGATGTTATTAAAAGTAAAAGCAGGAGGGGGATGGGAGACAGTTCTCTTTTTCAGGGTTCCCGAATCAGACATTCTGAGAGTGTTAAAAGTCCTATGAGCTTAGTCTACCCTTGAACTTCTTTGAATGGGCAAATAGTCAACGAATTCTACTCAATTAATTGCAAATACTGAGACTCTTAATGGATGATGGAAGTTAACAATTCAAGGTTTGTTGGTACCTGTAGAGAAAAATGATGTTTGCCTCACCTGGGCCTCTTGGTTTCTAAACCAAACCATCCCCAAATCAGTCAGTCATGGTCACATTCATCCGTGCAATTCTGAAAGATTTCTGAGGCCACAAGGGCACAAAGGGGAAAGTTATTAAAAGACAGAAACAAGTGGAGTCTTTATTAAATTCTGTGAAAGGTATAAATAAGTTATCGTTAATTGCACTTGGAGCCACCATAGGTTGATAATTAAAATTTTCAAAAAATTTAAAGGGTTAATTAGGCCCCAAATCCTGAGTCAGACTAACCAAAATAGGAATCTCAGTTAACTACTAGTATTCAAGTATCGGTGATGAACAGTTTGAAATTTAACAATTACGTATGTTACGCCTGAGAGTATTTTTGAGAATTTCAGGTTTGATGAGAGGAGACTGACTTCGCTATTTTACCACACCTTCTAACGCAGGGGCACAATGTTTTCATTTATTTACTCTTGAAGTCCACACCGACCTCATCGAACGCTCAACAACAAGGCTTCCTCCTTGGCTTCCAGCTGTGGCTACAGAGGATTCCTTCTGTCCTCTGCAAGTCTTACAATTTACATCTAGCAGGATGCTGTGTGGTATACTTAGGGAATCCTATTATATGGGAAGGTACTTAACCACATGCACACTCAGAGATCGAAGGAACATGTCTGAAGGACAAAGCAGTCTTTTTCTATATTAGAAGATTCTTTAAAAAAAAAAAAAACCCAAATGAAAATATAAAACCCCATGAAATATTCATAGGAAGTTACTCTAATTTGGGCCGACATGGCTTATCTGAAGAGTGTATGCCAGGTAAATTCAGGGTGGCTCTTTTCTCAGGGTCTGGAAGCGTGAGAGTTTCTGGAGCTGACTTCTTCCGGGGTCGATCTTTGGGCACAGACAGAAATTCTGGGGCGTCGGTGGAGAGAGGTGTGGATGGAGCACTAGAAGGGGCACTGCGGACTGAGGAAGGCAGCAGGGGAATACTCGAGATAGAAATTGCAGGTGGGAAAACGCCAATTTTCCTGTTGGTGGCTTCCTGAGTGGCTCGTTCAAATTCTCGGACTTCATCCATTGTCATGTCTTCAAAGAAAAAAAAAAATAGAAAGAAAAATGACCAGTTATTTAGGAGAGATGCATGCCTGATTTTAAGGGAACTACAGGAATCCTAGCATAAAGAGGCCTGTCCAGACTATAAACCCAAAGTATCACTGAAATGCTAAACCCTGAATTTTTTTTTTGTGTGGTTACTAAGGCGTAAACCTCTGAAAAAAAAAATATTCCTTTATGAATATCCATCCAAGATTTTCCAAAGCACTCTTCAGGGAGTAGTGTTAAGTATTCTGAATAAGAACGGGTCAGGAAAGTACAGAACCAGACCAGGGAAGTATCTGGGTGTATGTGTGTGTGTGTGTGTATGTGTGTGTTTGTGTGTGTATGTGTGTGAGCTGTTGGCATGGTGTGATATATGGAGCATTAGACCTAGTCATCTTTTCTATAAAGAAGCCTAGTTCAAGCAATCGATGGCCCAGGAATGATACATACTATTACCTATTTTAGGGCATGCAATTACAAGTACACCTTTATAGGGGAAATAGGCAAATCATCAGAATTTCTTCTTATTCAATAAATATACTTCTTGCATTCTGGGGATTACTGGTTTCCTGACTGTATACCCATCCTGAGATTGTTTAAATGCTGTTTTAATTAATTCAGCTTAAAAAACAAAGAAGATAATGACAACAAGCACAAACCCTGCTAATTATCCCAAAGCCAAGAAAAATAAAATCATTTTTTCAAGGAAACATAAAAAAAAAGCAATATTTGGCATTCAGGAAACAAATTCAGTGATGCCTCATTAAGAGGAATTGTCAGGTGATGTAGATTTTCTAAATACCTAAAATGTTTTTACTAAGTGAGAAAGTAAAAAATACACATATGTATTTTAAATGTAAATCTCTCCCTAACTTCTTAATTTATTTTAAAAAAATATTTTATTTTTAAGTAATGTCTACACCCAACGTGGGGCTTGAACTCATGACCCCGAGATCGAGAGTCTCACACTCTTCCGACTGAACCAGCGAGGCTCCCACCAATATGCTGAATGTATTATATACACTTGCTACCATTTAGACATAATATATTGAAAATATATTAACACTGTAATGACTTCTCTATCAGGGTCTATTTGGTTTTTTGTAGTTTGAGATCTCTCATTCTCAGAAACTATTACTAGACTGTCATTACTATTGTTATGGTTCTTATTAATTACTCTCTGGCTAACCGTGGTATCCTTTGTCATTTTTCTTTACTGGTAACAGAGAAAACAGGTAACTGGGCTTATTGGAAAAAGCACTGAGTGAAAGCCTAAGGGCTTGTCTTTGAGTAAAAGGGGAAATCTGCTGCTCATGGATTTTCTACATGAATTTTAGCTTCCCATAGACCCATTTTTCATTCTTGTCCTCTCCCATGAACCTAGTAGTGGAAACTTCATTAGATGATATTGCAAAAGCTAACATGAAACAATATATCCACTTTGGAAATATTAACTATGGAATGAATATTCATAACATGGTATTAATCATTAAGATATATATTATATGGATATGTAATATATATAAGGTCATATTATAACATAAGCAAGCCAGAAATATATTTTTTTAATTTTTTATTTAAATTCAATTTAGTTAACATATAATGTGTTATTAGGTTCAGGGGTAGAATTTAGTGATTCATCAGTTGCATATAACACCCAGTGTTCATTACAACAAATGCCCTCCTTAATGCCTATCACCCAATGACCCCATCTCCCCCAGCCCCCCACCCCCATCTTCCCTCCAGCGACCCTTGGTTTGTTCCCTATAGTTAAGAGTCTCTTATGGTTTGCCTCCCTCTCTGTTTTTATCTTATTTTTCCTTCCCTTCCCCTATGTTCATCTGTCAGAAATATTTTTCAAAAAAACCAAAATCCTTAAGAGGATTACCTGGAGCAATTGTTAAGATATTATGAAAGGAAAATTTTTTCTTACAAAGGAAATAAAATATGATTGTTTTGATATCATATACAACTTAGAATATAACAAGAAAAATTGTACCTATAAATTTGCCACTTTAAAAAATACTAAGACTATTAAACAAGCTAAGAAATGAGATTAAGTTTTTAAAAAAGAAATATGCACTTCAAGGTAAAATTGAGACTCTCAGAAAAATTTCAGTGAATGGGGTATGTTTCTGCTATAATAAATAAACATCTTTGAAAAAGTAGACTTTCTACACAAGTGGCAGAGTATAATGCTCTACCCCACATATCCAGCAGGGGGCAGAAATCATCCAAAATACAGAATTTCGATTTTACATTCCCAGAGTCTCTTAGAAGTTCCCTTCCTTGAAGGCACGGAAACTGCTCGATGGAAAAGGAGACTTAACTTTCTCATTGCCATGTTCATGGATGTTAATTTTACATAATTTCAATCCAATGTGTCCCTACTCAGGCTGAGGATTTAAATTTTATTGAGCACCCATGCAGTTTGTTACTTGTGATGGACAGCAACCTCTTGATTTCAACTGTTTTTCATTACGATAGCAAAGAAAGACAATGGAAAAATAAATGATCTCTAATTTGATGGAATTCCAAAGAATAAGGGAAATGTCGTAAGCACTCAAAATAACCACTCTGTGTAACTTCTGAGGAGATAGGCATCTCTTACACTGAAGTCATGGGAACGACAGTGAATTGCAGCCAGAGAATGCATGGGGCTTTCCCATGGGAGAACCATTCTAGGTACCACTGTCTCCATAGTAAACTGACTTTCTAATGGTAATAAAGGCAGTACAACAGAAAGAAGACCAAACAAAGAGCCTGAAGCTAAAAACCATAAGAGCTTAGAATGAGAAAAGCCAGGCGCTTAGAATCCTTTGGAATGTGGCATCTCCCCCTTTCCTCTGGCTTCCTTTGTCTGATCACACTTCTAAGCAAGCAGCTTTCAGAGGGCAGCTGACCGAGAACTAGAGTCATTCCAAAAAGAAAAGGGAATTTCAGATGATGGACTTCCAAGGACAGTTTCCTTAACGAGTAACAGCGACAGAGGGAGAAGGGAAGTCCTATTGGCAAGGGCCTGTGCACAGAGAGGAACACCCCAGGTAAGTTGACCCCATAGCTTTCCGCAAATCCAATCACTGCATGCAACAACGGGGAGGAAACGTCAGGGCCATCTGAGCCTCAAGAGTAAGCCACATGCACTCGAGCCTTGCAGGGCATACTCCAAATACATGCTCTAAAAACTGAACCCAAAACTTCCAAAGTGCAACCAAAAAGATCGTCAAAATTCTAAAGCACCCATTTACAACCATAGCCGTTGCTCAATTGTCTTTACCTACATTATCAACTTCTTAAAAATCTAATAGGTACTGTTCTGGGGTGTGGGCTAGCAGACACGCGGGCTCAAGCTGATACCCAAAGAGATCACAGTGCTGGCCAAAGATACATACAAATGACTTGATTACATTTTCTCTGTTATCTTAGCTCCTCTTCATTAGCATGAATGATTGAGAACTATATTTAAAATGCTGGCATGCACCATACAGTCAGCTCTCAATTTCCAGTGTGCCACTAAATAACCCGTGGCTCTCTGAGTCTCATGTTGAGTCCCAGGCCGGATGGGCTACGTGGCGCCGCACATTCCTAGCTCACCGCACCTTCACTGCTCAGCCAGTGTGTGCACAGACTGCAGCCCCATCTTGAGATTAACCGAAGCAAAAAGGAAAGGATTGGCTAGAAGAGCTAGAAGGAGCCACAGAAAGCATTTCAAAGCAAATGTAAAGAAATCTAAAACACCAGATGAACCACAAGCTGTCCCTTGAATGAATAACTTGAGCAATAACTATATTTTTAAAAGTTACTGTCACGATATTCTAGTTTTCAGATGACACCTGCTTTGTCTCCTCTCTTTCACGGTGCAGGCCATTCACCAGCCACAAATGTTTCCACTCTTCACGCTCTTGGGTTTTATGAGCGGAAAAATAACCCCCAAATCAAGCGAATTCTTTAAGAATCGAAAAATCTAGAAGCAAGAGGTGACACTGTCCAGTTTAGACCCAGCTCATGTTCTTCCCCAACAGCCTCTGGGTGACGACATGTTTTTGTGTGGAATGTTGAGAACTGAACGTCTGCAGTATTTTCAAAGATCGGTTTAAGTGTACGTTTGGTAAAGGGTGGGCAACATGTTTTAAAAATTCTACATACACTTGTTTGGGCATGGCTCTCTATGTCATCCACAGTGGAGGAATGCTGATTGCAAACTTTTATGTTGGTTTGTTCATGCATGTTTTTCTCGTATTCCCGAACATCATCCATTGTCATATCTGCAAAAAGGTCAAGACGTTGGCAACTACTGTTATTAAATGCAAACTTTCAATGGGGAGACTTTAGGGAAAGACGGTAGCAGAAGCCAAAGAGAGGTTTAAAAAAGCAGGGAATTCACTAACTTTATGAAGAGTACGTCATAAAGTTAGCTAAACCAGCCAAAGGGGGAGTGAGTGCAAGGAAGTTAAGTCGAAACAGTCTTAGAACAGAGAAGAGTGGAAATTATTTAGGGGTCAATCTTGTAAAGTGAGCCAGATGGGTGGAGAGTATTAGCACGTGGGCAGTGCCATAGCCTGAGATCTCCTAAAGCATTCTTAGAAGATCCCCATGGGGACAGGGTCAGGTTTGTTTGCTTTAACACTTACCTGTCAGATACCTTTCAAAATAGATTTGGAGGTTTCCTTAAACAAATGCATTCGACAAGAGAAAGGGCACTTTCATTGCTAGTACAGGAGACATGACATAGAAGGCAGACACATGATGTTTACCGGGACCAGGGATATTTGGTTGCAATGCTCACATGGAGCTGTATTTCTGCACAGGATTCATAGTGTCAGAGAGTGCGGGTCTATATCGAACTTCAAGTCTAGTCTAACAGCTTGGAGATGGCTGGCGCTACTTTCACCCACACCGATCTATAAATAAAATGGCACATGACATTATGATTTTGGGCCTGAGTCTGTAGTTTTTCAGCATTTCAGGATAATGATCTCTTCATCCAGTGGTTCCCAATGGGGGACAATTTTGTGACAGTAGGGGCCTGTGAGGCCTTGGAATAACCTACCACTGCCCGTTCTTAACAGGAAAGTATCGGGTCCAAAATGTCAATGGTGCCAAGGTTGAGAAACCCTGTCTAAATCCAACTGATGAAAAACTGCATTAAGCAAAGAACCCATCCATCTTCAGTATACGAAATGCATACAAATAACAATTACTCTCACTTGAACTACATCTGCTGTTTTATCCTCCATTCCCCACCAGCTCTTTGGTTACTTGACAACATTCTATCAGCAATTTTCCCAGACAGGCATCCCTCCGGTGCGGTCATGGCGGAACTGAACTTCATGCCTCTCTACAAGGAAGGTATGCTTGAATAATTGGTTACTCGACCACCCTGATTGCGAATTAGCTTGGTGGGGATTCAGAGCGGGTATTCACACTGGAAATTTTTCCTTAAGTATTTCCTGCATCATGTGGTTTGGTGGTCTTTTTATATCAATCCATGTATGTCATGTGAGATTCTCTTCATTTCCGCAGGGCACACGTGCCAAAACTTTATGATTCAGTTCAGTGCGGTCTGGGGCCAAGAGGGAGGGCGGCTCTAAATCCAGACCTGGGCTATTTTATTTAGCTGATGATCGCCCCACCCCCCACACCCCAAAACCTTAGATCACAAATGTTGTCCATAAGCAATGTAAGTATCAAGGATGCTAAGCAGCAGTCTAGCCAAGCAAAGAGCATGCTTTTCATTGAGGGAATTGGAAAGCAACAAACACATGCTGCTTTGTAATTAGAACAAATGTATCTTAGTTAACAATAAGAGCATATTCGTTCAATGCAATCACTTTAATTCCAAAGGCTGGTTATCAAAATTTCCTAAACACAAATACACCTGGAATGAATACTGAGGTCATTTTTAAGCCAGAAGTTTAAGATTTAGAGAAATTTCTCTATACATATGTTCATTAGACACTTTCTCCCCCTCCATTCCCCCCTACCCCCAGCATGACAATAATTTGGAAAATGAAAACAAAGGCATTTTAGTTTCTTTGTTCTAGTGAATCCTAACAGAAATTGTTCTTTATCTTTAATTAGCCCAGTGTTAAGAGAAGGGCTTAAACGGTGTGACTGTGTGCTTTCAAAGATGTCTCAATTTTGTAGTTGTGAAGAAGGATTTAACAACAAAGATAGTTATTACTACCTTTTTCATAACAGTGAAAAATGGGAAAGAACCCAGGGGACAGACCATACTACGAAACCATTAAAAAATGATGTAGAAGAATATTTAACACTATAGAGAAATGTCCTTGGCATATTGTTAAAAATAGGAGGTAAAACAACTGTACACATTCTGTGAAATCATCTCTGTTGGAAAAGCATTATATACATTTTAAAAAGACTAAAAGGATACATTTTAAAATGTTAACAGTGACTGTTTCCAGGAGTTGGAATTATAGATAATTTTCATTTTCTTCCTGTTGTTTGTATTTTCTACATCAAATACGCTGTACTTGTGTTAAGAATGAAAAAAAGAACCTTATTTAAAATCGATTATTTGGGGTCAAATACCATCAGTCTGGAACTGGTAAGGAGAAAATATAGTTTTCTAGAATTTCGGCTCATTCCAGATACATGATCCTTTTTGTTGTTGTTAAAATGGAAGAGTTATGAAACAAAGTTTCAGAAAATTGCATCTAAAAGAAAAAAATCTCCCAATTAGACCACATAAGAATGAACGTTTCTAGTAAGGTGGTTCTCTAAAAGATGGTGATAATCGGGTCCCTACTGAGGAAGGAAAATATGTTGGTCTGAATCCTGTTCTCCCCACGTATCATGCATACTTATGGAAATGATGTAAATATTTCCAGTATTCCTCAGTAATTCATGGAAAGCCTAATCAAGTGAATATATTCCTGTTTAGGTTTTCAGGTAAAATGCATTATGTCTTGCTTCTGCAAAGTATATTACCCCAAAATCTCTATAGCAATCAATTTTTTAGTAAATTCAACTGCATTGCCCAATGACAGATTATACTTTCAGAGATGGTTCTTCTTCATTATGGATTGATTTTCAATGACCAGAGAGTGACTTCTAACAGTTTAGGTTCAAACCTCTTGGTTTCCAGCAAACAACTACTTATGTGTATCAATGAAACTCTTCAAGGAAACTTACGTCCATTATTTTGCAAAGAAACTAATAAATAATCACCCCTTAGTATATAGATTTGAAAGGTCATAATTTACTTTTCGGAAAGAAGGTTTCTCAGAAAAAAGCTTCTAAGCAAGGAACACTGGGCTAATTCCTTGATTTAAGAGAACACTGTAACTAGTACGATATTTCTGCTGTTAAGAAACATACATCATAGTATCTTTGACAGTAGGCTGTTGGAGGCTCTCTACCTGTTTATATCTATAAGTGATGGGATCAGCACTGAGAAGTATGCTGGGGGCATGAATCCCCTCCTCATTACACTTCAGTGGCACAAGATTTCCTTTCTTTGCCCTCTTGTGAGCCCATTTCTTTCCTTCTCTTTCTTACCCTCCTTCAGATGAGGGGAGAGCTGATCTGCTCCAGCCAAGTGGAGGTCACATGGCCTGAGTAGAGCCTCCTCTGCCCGGTGACTAGGCTGAGACGGGCACCTCCACCTCTACCACCAGGTCCAGCCTTGTCCAAGGAGCCCCGGGGGATTTGTTGAGGAATCTGCTTTGATTTCCTCAACTGTGAACTAAAAGCTTTCTATCTATCTATCTATCTATCTATCTATCTATCTAGATATCTTTCTATCATCTATCTCTCTATTTGACAGAGAGAGAACACAAGCAGGGGAAGGGGCAGAGGGAGAGGAAGAAGCAGGCTCCCCGCTAAGCAAGGAGCCCGATGTGGGACTTGATCCAGGACCCTGGGATCATGACGTAAAGCCAAAGGCAGACGCTTAACCGACTGAGCCACCCCAGGCGTCCCTAAAAGCTTTCATTTAAGAACAAAATATACCTCCACTCTATGAAGCTTGGTCGGCTTCAAAGATTTTCTGCCTTTTTTTTTTTTTATAAGGGTTTCAGTGCTTATTTATTGAATCACTCAATTAATGCATGAATTATGTTCCAGAGAAATAATTCAAACAGTACTGATTTTTGTTGAGAAAAGAGTTTAATTCCTTTTAACCTCTCCCACTAATCCTATTCTTTCTGGATGTAACCACTGTTAAGAGTTTGAGGTACAGGTTGCCAGATGTTTTTCCTATGAATTTACATGTATATTACTGCACACACATATAGTCTCATTTATTTTTAAATTTATGGAATCATACTATGGTATACTATCCCATTTTTACTATACATATTGTCTTTTTTAGTTTTTAAATATATTTTTAATATAGTTTTAGAATATATTTTTAGGTAATCTCTACACCCAATGTGGGGTTCAAACTCATGACCCTTAGATCAAGGGCTGCATGCTCTTCTGACTGAGCCAGCTGGGTGCCCCTAGAACTACCTTATTCTTTTTAACTGTTGCAAACAATATTCACAGTCTGGGTGTATCATAATTTATTTGATCATGTTCCTGTTAATAAACATTTATACTGAGACTAATTTCTAGCTTTTTTTTTTAAAGATTTTATTTGTTTATTTATTTGAGAGAGCGAGAATGAGAGAGAGAGAGAGAGAGCACATGAGAGGGGGGAGGGTTAGAGGGAGAAGCAGACTCCCTGCTGAGCAGGGAGCCCGAT